AGCCCGATGCGGGGCTCAATCCCAGGACCCTGGGATCATGACCTGAGCCGAAGGCAGACGCTTAAGGACTGAGCCACCCAGGCGCCCCTACCATTCTGTTTTATTGACCATCCTCTTAATCATCACCCTTACCACACAGAGTATCAGAGGGTTCTCCAGGGAGTCATTGTGGTTTCATCAGATGTTACTTGAGAGCATAGAGCTTCTGTGAGGCCAGGCCAGGGCACCATTTGCAGTACGTGGAGCATGCAGAAAACTGATGTGTGGCCATGTTTCATTAGCTCTGTTCTTCCAAGAACCCCCAGAGCAGTCACCCTCAGATAGCTGAGCTTTCCATCATACTTGCACGGGTAGTCAGGACCATTAGGGAGAAACTACAGACTCAGACGTTGATTGCTGTTGAAGGCATTCAATTTAATTTTAAAATACCCTTTTCTTATGAAGAAAAATACATGTGTATCCTAGAAAAGGTAGAAAACAGCAGGAACACCATTTCTCATGTATCAGATGGGTAACATTGAACAAGGGACTATGGCTCTGTTGCACACCATTCTTGATAGCTGCATACGGGATGCGTGTATCATAATCTGCTTAAGCCCATTTTCCAGCATTTTATTTTTCCATTCTTTTGCACCTATGTAAACAGTCTGCAACGAATATCTTGTTGCAAAATTTTTGTTAAGTTTGCCCAATGCTTCCTAAAGACAGATTTCCCTGCTTCCTAAGGACAGATTTCTGCAAGGGAATTCCTGGGTCAGAGACTTGGCACGTATTGAAGCCTTGATTTTGGCTTAATGCAGGTTGAGGGTGCCTTAGCTCCCTTCCTACCAGTTCAGTCAGCATAGAGTGTGTGAGGTTGGGTCATCACTTGGAGACAAGGGACACCCATGTTTGAAGTGGCATCATACTTTGTTACTGTTCAGGCCAAGGTGACAGAAGAGTTAGCAGCCGCCACCGCTCAAGTCTCTCGTCTGCAGCTGAAAGTGACTGCTCACCAAAAGAAAGAAACAGAGCTGCAGATGGAGCTGACAGGAAGCTTGAAGGAGACAGACCTCCTTAGGGACCAGCTCGCCAAACTGCAGGCAGAGTTCTCAGGTACGTCCTTGGAGGGGCTGGGACCTTCACCATTTAAACCTTAGGAATTAAACTGAGAGGCACCTGGGTGATTCATTCAGTAGAGCATGTGACTCTTGATCTCAGGGTCATGAGTTCAAGCCCAGCATTGAGGGGTAGAATTTACTTAAAAAAGACCAGGGCGCGGGCGCCTGGGTGGCTCAGTTGGTTAAGCAACTGCCTTCAGCTCAGGTCATGATCCTGGAGTCCCTGGATCGAGTCCCACATCGGGCTCCCTGCTCGGCAGGGAGCCTGCTTCTCCCTCTGACCCTGCCCCCTCTCATGTGCTCTCTCTCATTCTCTCTCTCTCAAATAAATAAATAAAATCTTTAAAAAAAAAAGACCAGGGCGCCTGGGTGGCTCAGTCGGTTAAGCGTCTGCCTTCAGCTCAGGTCATGATCCTGGAGTCCTGGGATCAAGCTCCATGTCAGGCTGTGCTCACCAGGGCATCTGCTTCTCCCTCTGCCCTCCCCCCCTTCCTCGTGCTTGCTCTCACACTTTCTGTCTCTCTCTCAAATAAATAAATAAAAACTAAAAAAAAAAAAATTAAACTCTGTCCTTCCTTCAAATCCATTTGGCTTGATGCTCTTGAAGTTTGTGAAGGACTGAGGCAAAAATGAAAGTAGACCGGTATAAACCTACACCACTGCTTGACATAAAGGACTACTAAAGAACTGACTGTTCATCTGAAGTTGATTAGTGACCACTTTCCCACTTTGTTTGGCAAGTGTTGTCCTCAGTGTCTTTGGTACTTGTGTTTGGCTCATGGGCCTGGAAGAGTTTAATGTCTTCCTCTAACTCATGACTCAGTGGAAGTTTAAAAAAGAAGTACTTCCTGTAGCGGCCGGCTCCTTCCTAGAGGGTGGATTCCAACCCTTCAGCCTGGCACTCGAGGCCCCTCCAGCTTGGCTTACTTCCTCTTCTGTTGCTCAGTTCATCTCGGCTCTGGACATACTAGCCAGCCTGCTGCAGCTTCAGCCCATCCTGTGGTTCTGGTCTTGCTTTTTATCCATGCTCTTCTCTGGACTTGGTGTGTCCTCTGTCACCAATATTTGCCTCCAATTCTCCAAAATCTCTTTCAGAAACTTTCCTGGTTTTTTTTCTAGAACATTTGATCTCCTTTAGAATCCTTTATCTCTGAGTACATTATTATGACCATTATCAGAGTTAACCTCAAATCAGCAGTATTTATAGGTATGTATTCCCTTCTAGAATACAAGCCTCTGGAGGCCAAGGATAGTATCTTGCTCATCTTTTGCAAAGTCCTTTCTTCCAAGTTAGCATTAGTTCAGTACCTGGCATAAAGGTGCTGCTCAAGACACAGGGACTTGAATAGAAGAGTTGTGAAGACCAGCATGTTGATTCATGCACTTTGGTGTGTAGAAACAAATGTGGAAGACACAGATGGGACCAGGGGGCGGGGGGTAGCTGGGGCAGCAGCAGAATTGGGAAGAAGCAAAGTTCGCTTGCCTGAAAAGAGCTAAAAACACTGATGTAAGTCGGTAGAGTGACACCTTGAGGATAAACCCCTTCCCTTTTAGAGCATCATCTGGGTTCACCTGAGGGACAGTCTTAGATTTGAATGTTGTACAGGTATCTTTTCTGCTTTTGTGGTGCCCTATGACAGTTACCTCAAAAGCACCATAAGGGTCTCAGAAGTTTTCTGTACAAACTTCATTTTAATGCGTTACATTTTTTTTTTTTCCAGATTTTATTTATTTATTTGACAGAGAGAGACACAGCGAGAGAGGGAACACAAGCAGGGGGAGTGGGAGAGGGAGAAGCAGGCTTCCCACAGAGCAGGGAGCCCGATGCGGGGCTGTATCCCAGGACCCTGGGATCATGACCTGAGACGCTTAACGACTGAGCCACCCAGGCGCCTCAGTGTGTTACATTTTTAAGAAATATTCTGAGTAGCTTTATTTGAGCTTTTTTTTTTTTTTTTTTTTGAGCTTTTTTTTTTTTTTTTTTTGGTGTTTTAAAAGGAAACTCTTGGTAGAATGTCCCAGCTACCAAGAAGGATGGGAGTATTTTACCAAGGCGGTGAGACAGGGCCTGGACTAACGCTAAATAAAGATCTGTTCAGTATGTTGAGGCAGTGGCTGAAATGGGATTGTGGCAGTGATACATTTTGAAAGTGGCTTTGGACGGCTTGAAACGTTTCTTTTTCATTTTGTGTGTGGAGAAGGGGACACACACATACAGACACGAACATGGGTTGGTAGGGGAGTTGGTTCATGACCTCATCTGCCTTTCTCTGGTCAGGGAGGTGGTACTGAAGGGAGTGAGGGGAAGGCGTGCACGTAGTCGAGTCGGGAGACCGCTCGGTGCAGCTGGGAGGAGCGGCCAGGATGCCAGGTGCCCCTTTAGCTCTGGTTCTGCAGCCAGTCTCTCTGCGGTTCTATCCCAGAACTCCAGGAAACCTCGGAGCAAGCTCAGTCCAAATTCAAAAGTGAAAAGCAAAGCCGGAGACAACTAGAGCTCAAGGTGATGTCCCTGGAGGACGAGCTGGCTGATCTTCGAGATGAGAAGGAATCTCTGGAAAAGGTAAATTCTACACCCAGAATTTCTCTGTTGGACCCGAGTGGCCAGGATTAGCTGTTGAATAAACGTTTTTGCTTTCCTTTTAAAAATTACAGTAGCATGTGCTCATTGTAACAAATACAAATAATACAGAAAAGTATGAAATAAAAAAATTTATCTTTTTTCCTCTCTAATCTCAAGCATTAGAGATAACGACTATAAACAATGTATGAGTATCCATGCAATTTGTTCTTTGCGTGTATAAAACATATGTACACACATACTTGTGCATACATGTATGTATACTGATCGTTTTTAAACTATGATAGGATAGTGTTTAATGCTTTTTTTTTTTTTTTCCCCTCATGGACATTGTACTAATAATGAGAACTTTCTGGGATGCCTGCTGGCTCAGTTGGTAAAGCATGTGACTCTTGATCTCGGGGTTGTGAGTTCAAGCCCCACGTTGGGTGTAGAGATTGCTTAAAACTAAAATCTTAAAAAAAAAATGAAAACTCTCATTCCTTTTAACTACAGCATAGTAGTCTAGTGTATTGTGAGGTTATACCATAACTTACTTAACTATTTACCTACTGATGGGTATTTATGTTTCTGTTTTTTCACAATTTCAAGCATTGCTGCTGTGGACATCCTTGTACTATATAACTATTTTTTGCAAATTCATTTGAGCATTTCCATAAAATGAATTGCATGAATTAGAATTGCTAGATCACTTTTTAATGTCCTTTGTCCTCTTTCTTATTGTAATATTAGTTTGATTTATAAACATTACTGAGGGTATTAATCCTTTGTCACTCATAGATGTTACAAATATCACTTAGTATTTATATCTTTTGTCGTGTTAAAATTTTAAGGTCAGCCTAAACTATAAACTAGCCCCATTGAACAAAGTGGAAATATTTCTGTCTTTCTGTTCTGGAATAGTTTAAATATGAAAAGAGCAAACTTTCTGATATTTCTTTTTTTTTTTTCCCAAAAATATATTTATTTTTAAAAACAAAAATCAGACAAGTTTTATAGAGTCAAATTTTCCAGAGACAAACTAGAGTTTAGATTTCCACTTAGAGCAAAAGTTAAGCATCAGTAATCTCATGCAGAAGTGTTTCTCAGCAGGAGGTAAAACATTCTGCTTCACTGCATGCACTCAATTCTCTAAATCTTGTTTGTACTTCTGCCATCATTTTACTCCATTCCAGGGCTCTGGCATGCCAGACAATCCGCCTCTAAAATTCAAAACTTCCAAATTGAGATGAACGATTATTGGGCTTGGGTTGGGGTTTATAACCAATTCGATCATTAATCATTTGTTCCCGGCTCTTGGGGTCACTGCTCAGCCCAATGGCACCTTCTCCATCACTGATTCCTACAACGTCCACTTCTTCCTTTTGTTTCTTATGGGTCTCCAGGTCATTTCGAATGCTCTCAAACTCCTCAGTGTCATCAAGCTTCAGCTCCAGGCGGGTTGGTTTTCGCCGCAGCATACTGAGATCAACACTGAGGGCCAGACCCAGTGAACTATCAGCAACTCACAGGGTTATCCTCAGGGTCTAAACAGGTCCTAAATGGATAGGTCATTCATTCCTTAAACAAACACTTCTTATGCTCCCTCTCCAGAGTTAAAAGGCATAGCCACAGCCTCTTTTCAAGCCTGCTCAGCGTTTTCCCCCTTTCTGAGATTTCTATAAAACTCTCTAGTAAAGCTTTGGTGGCCTACTGCCTTTTTAGGGGATAAATCTGGGTCTGCATTTTCAGTTTCTTCTATGACTTTATCAGGGTTTTTTTTAAACCTAATCCTTCTGATTTGGGGGGACTGTTTTCAGTTTTTCATTGTGAGAGAAAGCACTACAGTGACCATCCATGTACCACAGTCTTTGTGAACATGATTTATTGCTTCCTTAAGATAAATGATAATTTGTGCAATTTCTGGATGTATTTTGAAAATCCTTTCACAGGACTGCTAAATTGCCATCCAAAGAGAGAACACTCGTTTATTTTCCTACTAGCAGGTATGAAAGTGTCCACTTCCCTGTGCCCTTACCACTGTTAAGACGTTCCCTATCTCTTAATGGAATGGTAGATAAAGAACTTCTTGTTTTCCTTCTTCTTGTCACAATTTTTGTCACTCAGTAGCCAAGAATGTTAAATATAGAAGAAAAATTAAACATTGAATTGTTTCCAGGAAGACCCAGGTCAAAAACTACCACCACTCTCACCATCTTCTGCATTTATCCTCTGTGAAACAGCTAGAGCTGATGATGGTTTTCTTATTCCCAAGAACCTGTCTGAAAGGAAAAAGAAGTCTGCTCAAGAGCGCTGTCAGGCTGAGGAGGAGATCGATGAAATCCGCAAGTCCTACCAGGAGGAATTGGACAAGCTTCGGCAGCTCTTGAAAAAGGCTCGGGTGTCCACAGACCAAGCAGCTGCAGAGCAGGTAACAGGAAACTGAAGCACTTTGGAAATGTGCCTTCAGGCCCATTACCGTCCTTGAAGAGAAGGGATTTATTTAGGTAATCAGGCAGGGAGACCAGGGACAGTGACAGGACACACCTGGGTCTCTAGTGCATTTGACAGAGACCTTTTTCCTTGTAAGTTCATAAATTCATATCTGCGTGTCTGACTGTTGAGTGAATTAGTGCCCTCAGTTTAGTCTCCTCTGGGGATTTTGACAAAACTGTTTCGCCTGAACCTGTGAAGTTTAGGGCCCAGACTCTGAAAAGATTACAATATGGCTCTGTCCTCTAGCAACCTGTCTAGACAGTCACCTCTTTCTCTGGTTGGAGTAGCTTTTAGAATCCTGACCACCAATGACATCTGCGTACCTATATTAAAAAAGTACATTTACTGGGCGCCTGGGTGGCTCAGTCGGTTAAGTGACTGCCTTCGGCTCAGGTCATGATCCCAGGGTCCTGGGATCGAGTCCCGCATCGGGCTCCCTGCTCTGCGGGGAGCCTGCTTCTCCCTCTCCCACTCCCCCTGCTTGTGTTCCCTCTCTCGCTGTGTCTCTCTCTGTCAAATAAATAAATAAAATCTTTAAAAAAAAAAAAAAAAAGTACATTTACTTTCAAATAGTTGTGTCCCTATTAAATCTGGGCTGTTAGCTTATTCTTTTTGCCTTAGGAAAGATGGGCTTCCCTAGATGCGACTGTGCCCCCCGCCCCCATATGGGGATTGCGTTCTCTTGGCAGCTGTCTCTGGTACAGGCTGAGCTGCAGACCCAGTGGGAAGCAAAGTGCGAGCAGCTGCTGGCCTCCGCCAGGGGTGAGCACCGGCAGCAGTACCAGGAGGTTTGTGCGCAGAGAGATGCCAACCAGCAGAAGCTGCTCCACCTTCAGGGAAAGGTAGGCGTTTCCCCGGGGCCGACAGCTTCGGTGGCCCAGTTAATTTGAGGCAAACAGGTTGGGTCTTGTAAATCCTTCTGAACCTAAAAGGTGTTAATAGCTTGAAAGCCAAACCACGCTTGTTCAACTCTCCAGTTTATCGGTAATCTTTCACATACTGATTTTGGGAAGACAGGTCTGTGACCTAGAAAAAGAAAAAGCAACATGTTAAATTCCGTTATTTGATCATTTATGAAGCAAATATTTATTGAGTGCCAGTGATAGTCCAGATACTGTGTTAGGGAAAGGACTTACAAAGAACTCTGCCCTTAAGCATCTCACAGTCCAGAAAGGGAGCAGGAGAGAAACAAAGATAAGCATGAAGTGCTGTGAGACCTGGAAGAGGAAGTGCCTGAGGGAGCAGAGCCAAGAAGGACCAGTAGTGTTGATGAGGTGAAGTGAGGTGCCCAAGGCGGCAGAATGCCCCGGGCAGAGGCACGGAGGTGGGGTGGGGCCTGCATCTGGTGGGTCACTGGCATGAAAGTGACAGAGATGGAAGATGGTTTAGGGTTATGGTATGACAGCCCCCCCCCCCCCATCTGGAGGTGACTTTCTTTCCTTACAGTATCTAGTTAAAAATCTTTGACTCAGAGATGATGAAGGCAGTCTTATAGGTGAATAGGCTGCTTCTAATGGCCGGTTTTCATATGTCTGTGTCACTGGACTTATATCCCCCCTTTTTTCATCATGCTCTTGAACCTGATAAGGAATAAGGCAAGTGACATGGTGGGGAAGAGGAGGTGAAGTTGTGAGTTGAGACTGAGGGATGAGGAAAAAGAATGCCCTGAGTCGGCAGGCCTGGGGTGGGTGGGGGCGTATGGACACCAGCGGACCTACCTGAGGTTAACACTGGATGCTTAGGATGGTTCTTGTCCTCCCAGTGACCTGACTTTCACCTGGCAGTCCAGGCTCCCGCGGCCACAGCCACAGTCTGTTGTTTTGCAGTGTCTAGCCCTCCAGGCCCAAGTCACCGCCCTGACAGAGCAAAATGAACAGCACGCCAAGGGCCTGGAGACCAAGCCCCACGTGTCTGGAGTTGCGGCTGCTGCCGCTGACCCCTCAGAGAAGGTGAGTGGGCATTTCGAAGACACATCCCAGGTCATATCAAGGGATTGAATGTGCCTATCAGGCCTTCAGGAAGAATGGGGCCAATTTTGTGTTGGCAGCTTTTCTTCTGACTTTAGTGATACACCACTTGTCTGGCTTCAGTAAAAATGAACTCTTTGGAGCCTATCACGTTGGTGAGAAACCCCAGAGGGCCCTGTCCTGGGGTTTTGACAGATAAGGGAAATGTCTCTAAATTGGCGCAGTGAGGAGCCTGCCCAGCATCTGCTAGCGCCAGTCTCGTAGCCCGCGGCGGCTCGCATGGTGGCCTCAGCACGAGGAGGCATTGATCAACACGGGCCGCAGCTTGCCAGTCCTTGATAACCCTTCCACCGAATGCTGTTCCTTATGTAACATCGCCCTCTCCACAGTGACAGCCTTTGGCGTCTCAGTTCAGGACCAGCTGTGGCGCGTACTACGGTGCCCAGAGGGCTTCCTTTCAGCCCTCCCAACCCCTCTCTGGCATTTACCTGCATCGCTTAAATCACTTGATGTTGGCAACATAGAGTTTGTTTTGCTCTCCTCGCGTCTTCACGCAGGTCAAGAAGATCATGAACCAGGTGTTCCAGTCGTTGCGGGGAGAGTTTGAGCTGGAGGAATCTTACGGCGGCAGGGCCGTTCTGGGGACCATCATGAACACCATCAAGGTAGGGCCGGCCGGTGACTTTTGCCCCGAAGTGGGAATCTTGTGGCTTAAGGGCCCTTTGAGGGATCATAAATCTAAAAGGTATTCAAGACTGTTCCTCAAGAATCAGGAAAAGTGGCATGACTTTTATCTGGAGAGATGAGGGCAGCCTCCGGCTAGAGGAAGAAGCAGGCATTCGACCTACACGAGCCGCTGTGCTGTCAGGGAGCGAAGAAGTAGGAGTGTCTGCTGTTTTCCTGTCAGTGAGCATCTCCTCCTCCTTGGCTTTTGAACAGATGGTGACTCTTCAGCTGTTAAACCAGCCCGAGCAAGACAAGGGACAGAGCAGCAATGAAGAAGAGGAGGAGGAGGAGGAAGAGCAGCCCCAGAGACCTTCCCGGGAGCTCTTGGTCTCGGCCGGTTCTGGGCCGCCCCCAGCACTCCTGAGTAGGGAGTCGCAGGAGTACCCCCTGGTGTCATCGGAGCAGGCAGTCCAGGAGGCTATCCCCCTGCCTCCTCAGGCCCTCTCTGCTTCCCAGGATGAGGTACAGGGAAGGGAAGGGGAGCCCGCAGAAGCAGAGGCGTTCTCAGAGATAAAAGGTGATTCCCTCCCACCCGAACTGGCTTGTATTCCCTCCCGGAGACCTCTGGGGCCCCCAACTTCAATTCCCCCTCAGCCTCCGGGCCCTGTGCTTGTGGACTCTGAGTGCGAGGAGACACTTGCTGCCAGCCCATTGGAGAATGCCTACGTCGGGGAGCCAGAAAGCTCCACGAGACTATCCCTGACTTCACATTCCATGAAAGAGGACCCACTAGCCTTGGGGCCTGAAAGTCTAGGAGAAGAGCCTCAGCCTCCAGAGCTCAAGAAAGATGAGAATGTCCCTAACTCCACTGCTCCCTTTAAGGAGCTAGAAAACACAGAGGCAGGTTCATTAACTGTCGGAGCAGCAAGTGGGTCCGGCCACTCTTCTCAGCATGCCAGGTAGGTCTTCCTGAGCAGTTTCCAGGACAAGGCAGCTGTATGCGGAGGTTGTGGCTGGTGTTTCCAGGGCTGGTAACTCGTCCTCAGAGAAGGACTGTCTGATTCACTTACTCATTCATGTATTTGTTCAGTAATGCCTACTATGTAAGAGGCTCTGTGGTCAGCACTGCAATAGGGTGGTAGGCAAGGCAGATTTGGTTCTTGAGTTAACAGCTTGCAGTCTAGTGGGGAAGACAAACAAACACTTACGTATTATAAAAGTATGCTTTAAAAAAGTGCTTAAAAAAAGAAATTCTCTATTCATATAATAGAGAATAGAGGAGGAGTTACTCTACTTTGAGATAGAGTGGTTAGGGAAGGATTCTGAGAAGGTAATGTTTAAACTGGGACCTAAAGGATGGAAAGGAGCCTTCAATGCCAAGATTGGGAGGAAGAGATTGTAGAAAGCAGGCACAGCACATACAAAGGCCCTGTGGTAGGAGGGGACATGACAGTCAAGGAACTAAGGAGGTCACAGTAAGTAGGAGAATGGTGTTAATCTGAGATTGGAGAATGAAGTAGGG